ATGCACTGAAGTCGCGGTGAAGAAGAGCAGCCACGACATCTTTTAAAAGAGGAGATCTTGTGGATAAACAAGGTAAAAAGACGTCGGCGGTGTGGTGGAACTTTCTGCAGTTCAAAGTCTGACACATTTGTTAAGCATAAGGTTGTGCCGTATTTATACTAATAATGACTTTTGGACGTCATACAAAGCCTCATTAATATTTTAGCCATACAACTAAACTGTTTAAATTATGGGCGTAAATTAATGTCCGTATTTCAATGAAAAGCTGGCGCATGGCCAAATGTTGCGCCTGTCATCTGCAGCCCTGGTGATTAGTGCACATGCGTGATGCAATATCGATATGATGTCGCCCAGCCCTACATTACATTGTGGGAATATTCACGACTGAGATTGTCATTGTAGGGATTAGGATTTTCCCCGATAGAAATGAATGGATGGTCCCTAAGATGTGAGTACAGGTGTGTGCGTGTGTGGGTGTGCGTGCACAGGTGCTGGGAATTTCCTGTAAGAGCAGGTGTGCCGCCCTGTAGGATGTTTGAGCCTAGCCACGTCGTTGAGGACACTGTCATCATGACAGAAGGGCCTCAGCAGAGCATCCCAATCGTGTCCGTGGAGACTGATGAGAACGGGACCATGCGCCGCGCTGAACCTACGGTAACACACATCTGTTCATGGGCCCGCTGTGATTTTCCGACCATATGCTTCCCGGTCTGAGCTCCTTCACCTATTTCAGATGAACAGGATGGTGAATAAGGCCACCACGCGTACAGTCATCCCGTCGCTGTCAGATGCCATGTCCCTGGATGGGATGGGCCCCTACCCCGGGGGGTACAGGTCTGCAGGCGGCCCGGGCAGAGAATACCCCACCGCCACTGTGCCTCGCAACTACCAGTACAACCCGGCCTCCGACGCCTACTCCAGCCTGAGTCGTGGGTCGCACATGGACCCCCGCCACAGGTGAGAGGCACTGGCCCACAGGCCCAAGCTCGTCAATGAGAAAATGCAAAAAAAACATGAGAGCAAGTTAAAATGCTGAGAGTTGCGATTCCCCTCGCCCCCCCCTCCCCCAGGCCGATGGATGGGTACCGCACGTTGGACCCGGCCTATCGTGTTCCGAGCCGGCAGCAGCTGGACCCGTACGCGGCGCAGCCCCAGGTACGAGTGGGCAGTTCTATGGAGCTGTCGGGCATGCAGAGATTTGTGGCCGAACCCTATGGCTTGGAGGATGACCAGCGCAGCCTGGGTTACGACGATCCTGATTATAGCATGGGGCCGCCCATCCACTACGGCACTGCCCCCCGGCTGGGCAAGGGCACCCCCCGCAGGGTTGGGTGAGTAGAAGGCTTGGGGACTATCATAGAATTGTCTATCCTATGGATACCGGCTCTCTGGGCTGGGATGAGCCATAAGGTGTGGAGAGTGACTTTCATGCGTGCTTGTTCTCAGGAGCTACGAGGTTCTAGATGGGGACATGTATTACTGGGGTGCAGGAGCACCGCTGGCCCAGGGTGAGAGGGGCAGCATGGCGTCTCTTGACAGCACCCTACGCAAAGCCCCGCCCACAAGCTGGAGGCAGCCAGAGCTGCCAGAAGTCATTGCCATGCTCAACTACCGGCTGGACCCAGTGCGCAGCAACGCCGCAGCCTACCTGCAGCACCTCACCTTCAAGAACGACAAGGTAACGGCCGGCACTGCTGAGGGAGCCCAGACCTTCGCTCCCAGTGGAGTCGTTTTCACTCTGGCAGAAAATATGGCAACCGTAGCTTCCTGTAGTGAATCAGAAACCGCCGCAAGGATGGTAGAGATGCTCACCACAAAGCTGCACCTGTGATTGGCCTGCAGGTGAAATCGGACACACGGCGGCTGAAGGGCATTCCAGCCCTGGTCTCCATGCTGGACAGCTCTAACAGGGAAGTGCACTGCTCTGCAGCTGGAGCTCTAAAGAATATTTCTTACGGCCGCGACTCTGACAATAAGATCGCCATCAAGAACTGTGACGGTGTTCCGGCTTTGGTGCGCCTGCTCAGGAAGATCAGAGACCAGGAGCTCACTGACATCATCACAGGTAACTACTGCATGACCATTACTGATAACCAGAGCCACACCATCACCGGTAACCATGGCCTAACCGTCACCATCGTCACCGGTAACCAAAGCTTACCTGTTGACATTGAGTATGGCCTTATAACAGACAGCGTCACCGGTAACTATGGCCCTATAACAGACAGCGTCACTGGTAACTATGGCCCTATAACAGACAGCGTCACCGGTAACTATGGCCCTATAACAGACAGCGTCACCGGTAACTATGGCCCTATAACAGACAGCGTCACCGGTGACTATGGCTCTATA